TAAATTGGGCAAAAAAACAGACATGCGCCATTGTTGGCATTGCCCAACCCACGGTAGTGCTTAACCATGTGTTGCCTTCAAAATAAATGGCACCGTAATGTGTACTTTTTTGCAGTGCATCCAGGGCTGTCTCTAATTCGCCACCTGAGTCAATGTGCTGTCGTTCCTTTGGTGCTGGCAGGGAATTGTCTCTGGGAGGGGTGGAAAGGAATGCACTGTCGTTGTGCTGAGTTGGCGGGGGGGATGTCAACGGTTCTGTTCAAAGTGTCCAGCTCAGCTCCTGGCAAGGGGTGACGTCAGTGAGCTGGGCAGGAAGCCGCACAGAGCGTCACAGGCTGCTAGGAGCTCTCTTAGCAACTCTTAACAAGCTGGGACGTTGCAGTCCCCCCACCACCACCCTGCCTCCCCCCAATGAGATGCCATCTGAGGCAACCATCTCAGGCTGCCTCATTATAGGGACGGCCCTGAGTGCACCCCAGCAGAAAAGTATGTTTCAGCCCTAAGACCCTGTGCACACTTGCGAGTTTATGTGCATTATGCCATGCGTCTGCTGATTCATTACATTGGCTGCCCTACGTCTGGCAATAAGCTCATGCAGCAGTTTGAGCTGTGACCTTCACATGCTTTTTGACTTCACGTTTTCACTTAAGCAAAGACGCGGATGATGTGTCAGTTCTTTTACCTGGACGTCCTTGTGAGGTCATGGCTGGTGTGTGATCAGGACGACTGGCTGTGTTTATTCAATAAAGTTAACAACATACTGACTGAATGTCACCCTGGTATAAATGATATTTGTCAGGACAAGTCATTTTATTTAAATTGATTTATTTAAACACTTTTGAAAAGCTTTCTGTAAGCATGACAGTGCTGGAAATCTCAGTGAGATGGGAATTGTTCTCAGCAAAAGCTACTGCAGAATTACTTGATTATTACTAATAATATTGTATTAAAAAAAAACTTTCCAGTCAACAGGAAAAAAAAGGCTACACGTTTTCAGTCTTTAATTTTTTGTTAAAATCCTAAAAATATATAAATAATAAGCAATTGAACTTATTTAAAAGGAAGGTTTATCAGTGCAACAGAAATGAGAGATTTCATTAAGCAGGACTGGGCACGCTAGCTGTTGTAGAACTACAAGTCCCATGAGGCATTGCAAGTCCCAGAGGCAAAAGCATGAGGGGATTTGTAGTTTGTAGCAAGATTTTCCTGTTCTCTGAAGAGGAATGATGCAATAACTGATGAGACACAAAAGCTGAACTGTCATTTGTTTTTATTCCACCTTATACTTCCTATTGCCTCTGTTGTAGCTGAAAGGGCACATTGGAGACGATGGTGGTTTATGAAATTGTTGCCGATTCTTCTGCTACTTTTCTTTTGGTGGTGAGTAAAATAGGGTGGAGGCAATCTCACATCAGATAAAAAATGATACGGGGACTAAAGGGAATCACATTTTGAAGTTTGACATTTGTTTAAACATGGTTCCATAAAACTTTATAGTTCCTCTACAGATAACAGAATTATAGTAGTTTCTGCTAGGTCAAGAGCAGTATTCTGGCAAAACAGGTCCCAAATAGGTGAGGGGTGGGTGGAGTACTGGCAGGTAGAGAATAGGTGAAGGGTGGGTGGAGTACTGACAGGTGAGGGACAGGTGAGGGATGGGTGGAGTACTGGCAGGGAGGCGATATGTGAGGGGTGGGTGGAGTACTGGCAGGTAGGGGATAGGTAAAGGGTGGATGGAGTACTGGTAGGTAGGGAACAGATGAGAGGTGGGTGGAGTACTGGCAGGTAGGGGATAGGTGAGGGGTGGGTGGAGTACTGGCAGGTAGGGGATAGGTGAGGAGTGGGTGGAGTACTGGTAGGTAGGAGACAGGTGAGGGATCGGCGGAGTACTGGCAGGTAGGGGATAGGTGAGGAGTGGGTGGAGTACTGGCAGGTAGGGGATAGGTAAAGGGTGGATGGAGTAATGGTAGGGAGGGGACAGGTGAGAGGTGGGTGGAGTACTGACAGGTTGGGGATAGGTGAGGGGTGGGTGGAGTACTGGCAGGTAGAGAATAGGTGAGTGGTGGGTGGAGTACTGATAGGTAGGGGATAGGTGAGGGGTGGGTGGAGTACTGGCAGGTAGAGAATAGGTGAGTGGTGGGTGGAGTACTGATAGGTAGGGGATAGGTGAGGGGTGGGTGGAGTACTGGCAGGTAGAGAATAGGTGAGTGGTGGGTGGAGTACTGATAGGTAGGGGATAGGTGAGGGGTGGGTGGAGTACTGGCAGGTAGAGAATAGGTGAGTGGTGGGTGGAGTACTGATAGGTAGGGGATAGGTGAGGGGTGGGTGGAGTACTGGCAGGTAGAGAATAGGTGAGTGGTGGGTGGAGTACTGATAGGTAGGGGATAGGTGAGGGGTGGGTGGAGTACTGGCAGGTAGAGAATAGGTGAGTGGTGGGTGGAGTACTGATAGGTAGGGGATAGGTGAGGGGTGGGTGGAGTACTGGCAGGTAGAGAATAGGTGAGTGGTGGGTGGAGTACTGATAGGTAGGGGATAGGTGAGGGGTGGGTGGAGTACTGGCAGGTAGAGAATAGGTGAGGCGTGGGTGGAGTACTGGTAGGTAGGGGATAGGTGAGGGGTGGGTGGAGTACTGGCAGGTAGAGAATAGGTGAGGCGTGGGTGGAGTACTGGTAGGTAGGGGATAGGTGAGGGGTGGGTGGAGTACTGGCAGGTAGAGAATAGGTGAGGCGTGGGTGGAGTACTGGTAGGTAGGGGATAGGTGAGGGGTGGGTGGAGTACTGGCAGGTAGAGAATAGGTGAGGCGTGGGTGGAGTACTGGTAGGTAGGGGATAGGTGAGGAGTGGATGGAGTACTGGTACCGTGTTTCCCCGAAAATAAGACATTGTCTTATTTTTTTTGGCCCAAAAAAACACACTGGGTCTTATTTTTAGGGGATGTCTTTTTTTAATGTGCAACAAAATGTACAACAATCCACAGTTATCTGGTATCACTCCACCTGTCACGGTAACTGGCGCTATAGAGGAAGTATCGGCTAATGCGGCTCTGCTCCCTCCGCCGCCGCAGCCTTGCTTTCTACAGCGCCGGCTTCCTTTGTCACCAGGGACAGTGGTACCAGAGGTGCAGCAGTGGGGACATCAGACAGTGGACAGCGAGGTACACAGTACAGTACCATTACATTAAGCAGTGCCTTCGGGGGGACAGCAGTTGGTGAAGTATGGTACTGGAGTGCTCCCTGTCACTGCGCTGGCCGGAGGGAGTCCCCTGTCATCCCCTTAATACAGTATGTCCCTGCAGGCTGATACCATCTCTCCTGCTCTTCAAGTTTCCCCTCACATGCTACCACCAAACTAGGTCTTTTTTTCGGGGTAGGTCTTATATTACAGGAATCTTGAAAAATAGCGCTAGATCTTACTTTCAGAGTAGGTCTTATTTTCGGGGGGAAACAGGGTAGGTAGGGGACAGGTGAGGGATGGGTGGAGTAGTGGCAGGTAGGGGATAGGTGAGGAGTGGGTGGAGTACTGGCAGGTAGGGGATACGTGAGGGGCGGGTGGAGTACTGGCAGGTAGGGGTTAGGTGAGGTGGTGAGTGAACTGGCAGGCTGGAGATAGATGGGGACTGAATGTTGTACTGGCAGGCAAGTGATAGGTGAGGGTTAAATGGAGAATGGGCAGGTTGGAGTGAAAGGTGGTTAGTAGTAGGTAATCCGGTCTAGTATCAGTATGTTCTCCTGCCATTGGAAGGATTCATGGTTTTTCCCTCTCTCCACTCAGGTACACAATGAAACATAGTACTTGGCAGCCACTGATATTTTCCTGTAAATCTCAGTGAGTATTTCTGTTTCTATATTTTATGAGATATATTAGCAATTGTAACTATATCCTGCCATGTATGAGGACTGTTGGCCTCTGCCTTCTGTTTCTTTCTTTATTCTTCACCTTAAATGAAGATCTTGTTATTTATTTGCTGTGGTCCTACAACTCAAATGATAGGCTACATATTCCTGCAAAAAGATCTTAAAGTACATCTGCCAATGATTGTGATTTGGGTTTCATGCCACCAAGAGGGACAATTCTAAACCCTACTACTACCTCCAACATTCCCTCTGGTACAGTCTTGTCTTGAAGGATTGAAACATCCCCTGCAGTGTCACCTTAGCACTGTGCTGATAGCAGAAATTGAAAATGTTTTTTTCCTCTGTGTTCACACCACAATGCGGGTGTAATGGGTGGTGCGCAGTGATAAAAGGTAGGCATGCTGTATTTTTTTCACAGGACACTGGAGGGACCTGAATGGAGTGTGCACATTGTACACTACCAATAAAGTTAAAGTAAAGCCAAATGTTATCAGTGACAGCTCCAGCAGTGTGCGCATTGGCCCACCTGCTAAAATACAGCATTTTAGGCTAGTGTGAACGGGCCCTTAAAGTGGTCATAGACCACAGATGCTATTGATGCTTGCTTGTTGCAATAACACTAAAATGAACATCTGCAGAAAGTAATTTTTCAACCAGTGTTTACCACTCTTATCAGTTGTTTATGATTGTAAACATGAAGGCGTTATTCATGCAATTCAGTGAAAATCAACAACAACAATCTTGCTTGTGAAAGAGTACCCTAACTTTGAGGACCTGGCATAAAGATACATATGAACATCCTCTGTCACAATCTTACAGGTAACTGTTAGGGTTAGTTCACACCATATGCAGTGCGTTCCGGTCCGATTCTGGCCAGAACACACTGCATTGCGGCCGGGCTGGAGGGGGCGTGGTGGGCCATTGAAGTGAATGGCACTGTGGCCATGCCCTCCGGCCACAATGGGATCGCCCGCACGGGATCGCAAGGCACATTGTGCCTGCAGTGCGGTCCGGTGCGATCAAAATAGTGCTTGCAGCATTTTGATCGCAAAGCACCGGACCGCACTGCAGGCACAATGTGCCTTGCAATCCCGTGCTGGCAATCGCATTGCGGCCGGAGGGTGTGGCCATGGTGCCATTTACTTCAATGGCCAGCCACGCCCCCTGGACAGGTGAGGGGTGGGTGGAGTACTGGCAGGTAGGGGACAGGTAAAGGGTGGGTGGAGTACTGGTATGTAGGGATAGGTGAGGAGTGGATGGAGTACTGGTATTTTGATCGCAAAGCACCGGACCGCACTGCAGGCACAATGTGCCTTGCAATCCCGTGCTGGCAATCGCATTGCGGCCGGAGGGTGTGGCCATGGTGCCATTTACTTCAATGGCCAGCCACGCCCCCTTCTGCCCCACAAAAAAGTGAGCTGGCCGCAATGCAGTGCGTTCTGGCCAGAATCGGACCGGAACGCACTGCATATGGTGTGTTCGTACCCTTAGTAAATACTATTCATAATTCTTTTGGTTTTTGGTGTCCCAGCCAACAGTTTCAGACTTTGATCAATTGTACTTCATTTTTTGGCTTGGAGGCTTTCTTTTTTTTTTTTTACAGTCCAGCATTATGTCGGTGATGTGTCTGTGCTCCTAATACCCGTCTGATCTTTATTCTGTCATGGCTTTTTGGGCTTCCGGGATATCGCTGCCACTTTTGTAGTTAGACACCACCATAAGTTGGAATGGCTAAATTGTGCTAATTATAAGGTGTGCCCTAAAGGGAGATGGCTAAATAAAAGTCTGAGCCTACTTGTAGTTTAAACTGCACACTACCCCGAGGTCACTCAACAGGTACTCACAGATGTGGAGGAGATTAATTGTAGGTGAGCACAACCGTCACTGCCAGTGCAACCAGTGCAACCCTCACTACCAGTGCAACCCTCACTGCCAGTGCAACCATTGCAACCCTCACTACCATTGCAACCCTCACTGCCAGTGAAACCCTCGCTACCAGTGCAACCCTTGCTACCAGTGCAACCCTCGCTACCAGTGCAACCCTCGCTACCAGTGCAACCCTCGCTACCAGTGCATCCCTCGCTACCATTGCAACCCTCGCTACCAGTGCAATTATTGTAACCCTCACTACCAGTGAAACCCTTGCTACCAGTGCAACTATTGCAACCCTCACTGCCAGTGAAACCCTCGCTACCAGTGCAACCCTCGCTACCATTGCAACCCTCGCTACCAGTGCAATTATTGTAACCCTCACTACCAGTGAAACCCTTGCTACCAGTGCAACTATTGCAACCCTCGCTACCAGTGCAACCCTCACTACCAGTGCAATTATTGTAACCCTCACTACCAGTGAAACCCTTGCTACCAGTGCAACTATTGCAACCCTCGCAATAAAATTGACCTGCACCACCAGCGCAACTTTTGCTACCAGTGCAACCCTTGCTACCCGTGCAACCTTCGCCAGCAGTGAGACCTTCACTGTCAGTGCAAACCGTGCAACCCTTGCTACCAGTAAAACTCGCGCTACCAGTGAAACCCTCATTTTGGGTGAAACCCTTGCTACCAGTGCAACCCGTTAAACCTGGCTATCAGTGCTACCAATGTCACTAGTGTTACCCTGCTACCTGTGTTACCAGGGACACCTTGCTATCAGTGCTGCCAGTACCATCAATGCTACAGGTGCTTTCAGTGCTGTCTCAGTTCTGTCAGTGCTGTGTGTACTACACATTACAGTATTAACACAGCCACCTTTACATCTCCGCTGCTCCCAGGGCTGCTTTCGAATGAAAAAGAACTGTGAAAGTTTGCACACCTTTTTGTTTTCATTCACCTGAAATGTATTCAGCTGATTTAAACTGAGGGATCAGTTGGGCTTCAGTAATAAAATAATTTTGTCTTGTGGGCAGCAATGACATTGCCATGACGTTTGCTGAAATCCAGCTATACATGTGGCTCACCTGGAGGTGATGGATATTCCTCAATACATTTATAATTTCTTTTTCTGTTTTTCAGAATGTGGTATGGACTGCGAAGTGCAGTCAAAGCACAGTGAGTATATGAGATGTTTCTTATGTATAACCAGTAAGTTATTACCTGCAACTCTAGGAAGTGATCAAAATTAATTGAATATACACATATATAAATGTCTCTATAAAGAGAACCTGCCACCTGCCAATGTTATCACATAGGGACTTATTATCCTCCTTGTGATGGCAATAAAAAGAAGTGAAAAAAGTGTTAAAATAGAAAAGTAAAATTACAAATTTAAAAAAATTAGAAGCAACCGCGCCGACCCCCACAATCTGCAAGCAAATGCAGACTCCTGCATAGGTCATGCACATGTATGTAAACAGCAGTTGTGCCACAAACTTTGAGTTAGGTATCACCACGAATATTGGATTGACAGCAATGACTCTCGGGAACATAATTCACTGTTAACGCTAAACTGATGAAAAGTAAAGGCAGTGTTAAGGCTTGTTGACATGTTTGGTATCTGTTTACTCAACGTGACCCCATTTTTTATATTTTCCAAAAACATTGGGTGTTATATTGTGCATGTGTGCACTAAAATTCACTTTAGTGTATTTTTTTCCTAACAAATATTGATTTGATAAATATATACGCAAATGTGTGACATAAAGAAATGGAGCTACCATTTTTTAAAATTCTACAGGACCTCTGCGTTCAGAAAACTGATATTTGTTTGGGGGTTTAAAGTAATTTGTTATCCAAAAAATAAGATTTTAGCGTCTGTGTGTGTGTGTGTGTGTGTGTGTGAAAAATTAAAAACATTGCTCCAGTCCAGTCATGGTTAAAATGACTAAACGCTGGAGTCAAATTATAAAAATACATTCAAGTACCTTTTATCTAGTAACAAAAATGTGTGTATCACTTGGCTGTAAATCCTCAAATCATCTCAGAATTGGTGCTGACACTGTCCATCCTTCTGGAGGGTGGCTACTTTTGGTCTTTCTGTGTGTTTGTAAAGTAGACAACGCACCAAGCTTGCTCCCGCGATGGACTATAATTTCAGATTTAGTTTACTAATTTTGTATTGAGAATGTAGTCCATCACAGGAGCAAGCTTGGAGTGGTGACTACTTTACAACACACACACAGGGACCATGGGGAACAAAAGTAGTCACCCTCCAGAAGGAAGGACAGTGTCACATTCGGAGAGGATTTGAGGATCTACAACTGAGTGATGCATAAATAAGATACATTTTTGTTAATAGTTCGGGTACTTAAATGTATTTTTAAGATTTAACTCCTGCGTTTAGTGTCACTTTAAGGCATGCACATAAATAATATTGGCTTGTAAATCATTGTAAACCTTGATACTTTCTACAGTGTGTTTTTCGATACATGGGGCAGCCATATGTGCTCATTACAAATACAGGTTTTACTTCTTTTTTTTGTTTTAAATAAGTTTTATTGTGTTTTTACAGGGATCCAACAGAAGATACATGTATGTGTTATCAACCCACATGCGGGTTGCAATGCAAAACAGTAACATACATACATTTGAGATATGAATCACTTTACTAGCGGGTTGAATGGGGAACAGAAGAAGGGGATAGGGGGGAAGTGTCTGCCACAGTGCTTTACAGTCCTCACATTCCGCCATTTTTCATTATTGGGCGCCCTGATCTCACAGGTTTTACTTCTGATTGTGCCTTGCTTCAAATCTACAAGATAATGCCTGTATGATTGAAAGCAACAATCTCTGCTGCCTCTAATTAGTAAAACCCCCAGGCAGCCTAGACAAGCCGTCCACAAGGGAGCTTAGGAGCAGAGTTTTGTTTATTTCGTTTTCAAACTGTAAAGTCCCAGCATATCCTTTTCTGTTATACCATCGGCACTGTAATAGGAACACATACAAGAGTTGTTTTTGATAATTCAATGAAAGCTTACTTGAAAAAAATCCCTTTTATGTAGTGCGCGCTGCCTTCTGTCTGCCCATCACTTTCTACAACTTCCCAATGTGCTTTGCTTCTCTTTCCCTGCCGCTTGATGAAATCAATCTCAGTCTCTCAAGACTACATATCCTATCATGCAGTGCTTCCAGCAAGGAATGATAATGTTACATTGTTCAGTGTTGAGTTGTAGTTTAGAAGGCAGGCTCTGTGAGAGTGGTGACACAAGGAAGTGTACACTGAGTGGCCAGATTATTATGACCACCCCATCAGTACTTCGTTGGGCCACCTCGTGACTCCACGAGATATTGAAAGGTGATGCGAGGAATCTGACACTGCACTGTTGCCCTTCTGTTGTCTTGTACCAGTCTTGCCACTCTCCGTTCTGCCCTAACATTGACTAGTCGCTGACGGCCACAATTCGCACGTGCAGACCCAGATTTTCGGCTGACACTCCAGTCTTTAAACACTTTAACAACAGCTGCTCTTGAACATTTAACAAATTCTGCTGTTTTGCTGATACTCGCTCCATGGCTCCGAGCACCAACAATCATCCCACGTTCAAAGGCTGTTAAATTGCGCTGTTTACCCATATCTTCAGAAAAAAATCACTTCTACTGTCGTGGTAAACAACCTGCTTCCCTATTTATAATGGTCTGGCCCTCTAGCAACTTTCTTAAAACAAACAAAACAAATTGACTTTTAGAACCGAAAAATGAAATAACGAAACATCCAAAACTAAACGAAACAAATTTTTTGCCGGCTTACATGTCCACAATTGTGGACATGTAATACTCACCCTAGTGGCTATCTGCATTTTACTGCAATCTAAATAATTCAGTAGAGAGAATGCATGGTTTAAAAGTACATTGCCTTGCTTTAAAAGAGGGTAAATCACTGCTATACTATGGAGGAGGCAAAGTCTGCGTATGTAATGAGCAATTATCATTGCCTTCTGGTACATATATAGTTAAACCCTATACTCAAAAACAAAATTTTATAAAACTTTATATATACCATGGCAACCAATCCGCTTCAATCTGTCATTTTCATAGCTTAACTGAACAAACAGAATAGAGAATCTGACTGATTGTTGACTTGCGGGAAAACACTGACACATTTTGTTTAACAATATCTTTCTTTCAGAAAAACAGATGTATTAACAATGTCCCCGTGGCTGGCCCCCATCATATGGAATGGAAGCTACGATTCGGCAATTCTGAATGCACAATTCAACCAGAGGGATGTCCATGTTGGTATCACTATATTTGCTATAAAAAAGTAAGATATGTACATTTAAATTGTCCCCGTGTTCCTGCGGTTTTGGTTTTATCTGCATGTTCAAAAATTATTTAAAAAATAAATAAATAAAATCATGAAATTATGTAGGTCTAAAGAAAATGTACCAAGAAAAAAATGGATATTGCGTTTGCTGACCTCTTTCTGAAAAAGGCTTTAAGCCACTGACCTGGAGCAAACACAGAGGTAGGAAAGTTAAAATGAGGTAAAAAAAATAATTGCCTACTTGTTATTTGCCAGAGTTTTAGAAAATATTGAAGCCAATGGGATCAGCATGGCGGACATACAACAAAAGGGCAGCTAAGGCAGGGATCAGCCATGGTAATGGCCTCCGTAATTTTAAGTTTCCTTTCCTTTGTGTCCCAGACACAAACCAATGGAAATGATACCAATAAAGAATGTGAGATCTAAGAAGCCTGGATGTGGCTTAATCCATTGGTTTCGAATCATACCAGTAAAGACTGAGATCTAAGAAGAGAGGATAAGGCTGAATCCATTGGTTTCCACTCAGTATTGAAGTATCAGCTCTGAATAGAGCTGATATTTTGACAAGCACCCCCCCCCCCCCCCCCCCCCCAATACATACCAGGATATATTTTTTATTGTTATTATACTTTTTTACATGTGTCTACAGGCCTGTCACATGATGAGCATGGTCCTTTTCCATTTCGCCTATTCTCTGACGCTGAGCAGTCCTTCATAAAACAGAGAGCTGTGCTGACATGATGTTGTCATTATTCGAAGGACTTCACCAGCACACCAAATCAAATGTCTGCATCAAGTGTTCATTTATTGACATATGCTGTCTCTCGGTTGCAAGCGCTTTCGGGGCCACGCAGGGTCCCCTTCATCAGGCTCAGAGATGTCATCAAATTTGATATGGTGTGCTGGTGACATTCTTCGAATATCTACATGTGGCGGCGTCATCTGCAGTCATTGCGAGCACCCGACTGTATATCTATATGGGAATCCCGGTAAGGAGTGCAGCAAGTATCCTTCTCTTCTACTCCGACATGATGATGTTGTCAGCCCTATTCTCTAGTTCATTATACTGTAAGTGAAGGATGTTGTAGTAAATACTTAAAGAGAGTGGGTCCATGGCGCCTGGCACTGACATGAAGTGGGTTGAATAACACTGAGTGTCATTCAACTCAAGAGGACCGGCGCTGTATCACTGAGCAGGGTGAGTCTGTGTGGGCCAGCGAGAGGTCAACTACTGTCATGAGAGTTATTTTTAGAGCTGATGGGCTACTGATTTAAAAATAAATACACCTTTCAACATCTCGTGGAGTCACAAGGCAGCCCAACAAAGTCATCTCGTGGCCCAACAAAGTACTGATGGGGTGGTCATAATAATCTGGCCACTCAGTGTGTATATATAATACTCTGGCCACTCAGTGCGTAGTGTGTGTGTGTGTATATATATATATATTAGGGCTGGTAATGATAACAATTTTCCTGTTCGATTAATCAAATTTTTTTAAATCGATTAATCGACTAATTTCGATTAATTATAACGCACATACAGAGGGGGGACTCACCAGAGCTTTGAGGGGGCCTCACCAGGGTAGCAGGTCTCCTCCCCCCTTCCCTTCGTTAGCCGACAGAGCCACTCGGGGAGGGGGGGAGGAGTCCGGTGACGCCGATGTCCGTGACGTTACCGGATCTCCGACGGAAGACCTTGAAGCCGGCGGAGAGGTGAGTACTTTGATCGATCAAAGAAATTAACGATTAATCGACGGATTAATCGTTAATTTCCGCACCCCTAATATATACACACTGAGTGGCCAGATTATTATGACCACCCCATCAGTACTTTGTTGGGCCACGAGATGACTTCGTTGGGCCGCCTTGTGACTCCACGAGATGTTGAAAGGTGATGCGAGGAATCTGACACTGCACTGTTGCCCTTCTTAATTATGTAAAATCATTATTACATATTCATCGTTTTAAATTTATTTATAAAATATTCTAAGAAAGTTTATGTACATAGAACTAATGTACAGAAAGGTTTGCAGCAGGAATGGCTCTGCAAATTGTTTATAAATAGACCCCCTAGTCTACTTTTCCATGGCTAACATAGCCAATCATAGAGATGGTAATCTGTAAAATCGGTGATCTGAAAGACAATTTTCTTGACTTTTTTTTTTTTTTTTTTTTTTTGTAAACATACA